AGGATGTTTACTGTGATAACTTGGTCCTCTAATCACTGTCGCTCCATGCTTATGTCTTTAGTTGCACCCCGCTTGTATGAAAGGTTAAACAACGAAAATGCGAAATCGAGAACACTAAAAAGGTGATCTTAGTCAGCAGTCGAAGCACGAAGAGTTCCTACATTATTTTATTGAGACTGGATATAATTGAACGCGGTCGATACTGCAGTGTGTAAAGTGGACTTGTTCACCTGAGGGTTGTGAGTGAAAGTGAAGTTTGAAGCAAGGTCTGTGAAAATCAATCCCCGCAGCTAGAAGAACCTAACCTTTAGAGCTAACTCCCCAGGATGGGTCAGACTTCGTACTTGTAGTCTCCGACTTGTTGGTTGAGCTTAGTGTTAATGGGTTTCACGCGTCTAGTCGTTTTTTCTGTAGGCGCTATGCCACCCGATCCATTGTCTGTTCTGGTTGTTCCTAGACTTGAACTCATTGTATTTCACGAACTGTTTCTATTGCAGGTCCGTCCTTTGACTGGATCTCGTGACAAAACCCGGCTCATCCCGTCACAGACGCTGGAAGAACGTCGTCGCGCTTTCAATCAGGAAAAAGCTCAAGGTGCGGCCTCACTAATCAGCATTCCTATCCCTGTAGAACAAAATAATCTACCGTGCATCCGCTGATCCTAACGCCTTTCCCCGCGAATCAGTGTGACTTGTTTCTATGAGTCGGGTTGAGCATGCCTGGCCTCTAATTCCTCTTACTAGAGGTCATCATCTCGGGGTCCCTCAGTAACGGTAACATAACGGCCTGTACTATTCGCATCATGCTCACCTCTCGTGATCGTCTACAGTTTTCTGTCAACCTGTTAAACCGTTATGTTCACAATCCTCTCAGCGAATGGGGCGCATCGTTATTCGTCTGCAATGCTCAGTACACGTTTTTTGTCGTTTTCTTCAAATCGTCAGTTTTTTCGCATTGTTTGTTTAAAAAATGGGATCACACGCATTCGCATGTGCAAAATTTTGAATCGGTATCCATGTGCATTTGGTGCTCTTCAGTTAGTCGTATACTAAGAAGATATAAAATGTGTAGGCAGTTCAGTAACCTTGGCAGCCGCCACAAGCTTTAACAACGTTTTATTTTTATCTCACTCTCTCTCTCTCTGGTGCATAATTTTTCGCATTTTTGTTGTTTTTGTTGATTCCTATCGTACCACATCGTTTACTGTCAGTGAAACAAGCTGAAAACCGATTCACTTCATGTGACGATTTACGTTTGATAGCTATTTTGCATTCCAGNGATTCAAATTCGCCCTGTTCCATACAATGACCAAATCTTGGTGTAGTAATGCTGTGGGGCTGCAGAAAGATGCCGCTTCTAGTCTTTTTAATAAGCTTTTGATTCAAAAATGCGTAACCTTGTGTAAAATTATTCATAAATGGATGCTGCTAACATTGCCATCGATGTTAATGTTGGTGTGGCGAAGCGTCGTGGTCGTAGCGCCGTAACAATACCTTTTTCCTTTGTGGCCAAAATTATCTTTTTGCTTCCATCAGAACGTTTTCGGGTTCTATCTAGGCTCTGTATTCCCAAATCTGCTTCGATGCACCATGAACATTGATTTTCCTCGTCCATGTGCATCATCCAAAACATGAGCATGGCGCTCACAAGCACAGTTTTCTTGTGCGTTGATTGGTTTGCATTTCATTTTCACCGCATTTCTCTCTGTCTCTCTCTTTCTGTTTTATCACGATCGATGACGTCAGTGGGTCGTGACTCTAATAGTGAACACCACTTCTTTCTAAAATCATCCAGTACTTCTTACCACTTAACCAACCATCAACGCTTTTTCTTCTCTGTAGTTTGAGTAGGTATGCTTTTTGAGTGAGGCGTCAGTTTCTCCGGCGTACAATAATCGATCACCATTCCACTCACTTCATCATTTTGACTGAATAATCAGTCGCTGACTCATTAAAAATAACAACCATTTTTCTCTCTTTTTTCGAACTACTATGTAACAAGTCGTCAAATATTTATTGAACACAGAACACTTCAACAATGATGTCATGCTGTTTTCTCCTTCCAATCGAGCTATTCACTGCCTACCGTTCGACACACTTCTCCACTCTAACACGTGAAAAGAGACCAGGAATGTGTGAGATTTATTGCATCCTGTCATTGTCACCGTGGTGCTTATCGTGCTCATTCATTGACTATGAGCCTATGATTGAACTAATCAGGGGGATCATTCAACAAGTCGATGTCAAGAGTGCACTTTATTCATCCATCGTGAACAGAATTTTCAGTGAAAAGAGAAACGTTATCACTTTCGCTTTGACCATATAACATTCAGTCAATAGGCAATAACGATGAAGAGCGAGGATGGGCAGCGAAAGCAGAAACTGCAGCATGCATTAAAATAGATTGTTTCCCAGATGTCCCATGAAAGCTAATAAACGAGAGAAAAATGGTACGATGGGACTGTGGTGCGAGTGTCTAAAGGTTTACACTTACTGCGGGTGATAGAGGTGGAAATGGAGCGAGAGAGGGTTCGGGTGTAGAGGATGTGATTCGCCAGACAGGATTTAGCCCCACAGACGGTCACATGCATTCGTTGTTGGTGAATAATGGAGTTCGCATGAGAATCAGCTCCATATCTGGGGATGCTTTTCAAAGGGTCTCATCAATATGAGATCCTTAGATAACAGGAACACTAAGTTTAATTACATAAGATGCACGAGAAAATAAATTTGGAAATTACATACAACGGCACCATTGGATGTGCAAGGTGTGAGGTATTAAATATTAGATTTCTGACTTGAAGAAATATTTGTTGCACGTAGTAGGACCATTTGAGGTCAGCAGACAGAAAACAATAAAGATATTTCAAATGCTGTGACCTTTCAGTGTTTGTGCTGTTTAGTTGTTGCGAACGAACGATCCGGAATGTGTTAGTGGCTTGCGACTAGGAGAAAACCTGAACGTATTTCATTAAGCCCAAGGACAGATGGACATCGTCGGACCAGGATTTTAATAGATTTTCATCAACCGTTCTGATTTCACCGGTTAACCAAACTTGCTGTTGGCCCGCACATGTTTCAGCAGCAATTTGTATATCATGGCATGTCTGTATGTTCAAGTCAAGTGGAAATCAGGTTTATGGTATATCCGTATGTGTGCATCAACTTCATGGAGGTGCATTTCTATAACTTGTTTCAACTGAAACGCACTCATGCTTCGTTCGATCGAAACAGACGAAATGTCATTTCCATTAGTTTTCAATCGATGCGTATTCCGTTACGCGCAGTCGCATTCAATTCCCCGGAATTCTATATTTTCTTTGCTTGCAGCTTTTGGATCTATCTCTTGTACATTTTTGTTGCATACCCTTCTATTTCATTCCTCTTTGGTTAGAGATATTTGATTTATCCATCCAACAGTTTTCCTCGATTTTCTCTCTCTGGTACACAGATAATCCTCCAAGTGAGTTATATTCTCGACGAGAGAATCCGACTGATTGGGCGACGTTATTCACTTCATTGTTGCAGTGTTTTCCCCGTTTGTTGTGCATCTTCTGTGGTCGATGCACAACGACACGAAGCACATCGTAGAGCCAGCTGGTCCAACCTGCAATCGAGATCACCCGCACCTTGCACCGTGTTTCTCTTGTCACGCTTTTGCTCTACATCTTTTCCGATCACAGACCGCCACCACAAAACTAGCTCTATCGGCAATAACCGAATTGCGGATTGGCAACACCAAAATATGCATTGTCTAGACCCAGTTGTCTCCACCTGTTCAGTTTCTTCGGACAAGTCATTTTGTGACAACAGCACCATCGACATTGCACCACAACTCATCTGAGGTGTGTGATGACTCAGACAGACTTATCTGACGGGACTTAATGCGGGGCAAACAACCATCTGAGTCTCGGCAATGTATACTTTGTTGTTGTTTGTCGCTTGATCCGGATGTTGTTTCTCATTCTCACAGTATCGTTTATGTCAGCTACCCTTATCACTTAGTACAATACTTCTGGTTTTTTGCACGCCTTCGTCGTTCACATTGCTTGATTTCTTTGTCTCCCTCGTATCTCACCCAAAGGCTCCATATTACCCTCTGTTTTTCTTTTCTGCTTTTCAATTTAGCAACCACTAATAAAAAGATCAAGAAGAAGGTCAAACAGTTCTTTCGCGCCGCTGACTCTTCCGGTAAGTCTGAATTCGTATCAGTTTGGCTCGTAATTTATGCATGTCTTGTCACGTGATAGATGCAGCTAGATGCCTATACCGTAACCCAGTTTTGCATGAAAAGCAATCGTGGTGGTGGTGCAGTTCTTTTTTTAACCAAATCGCGTATACCCTATGCGTGGCATTGCATTTTCGCAGCTGACTTGAGTTGAAGCATCACCTACGTCTATAGATTGTTCTTCATCGTTCGCACTTGTGATTACGCACACTACGGTACGTGGAACCCTTCTGTAATGCACACGTCCATTTTTGCGTGTTTCACTGTGTGCACAACCATGGTCTATCTGTTTACTCGTCGGTCTCTTTCGTTGTTTACCTACGGTCAGTGATTTGCGCTGCTGCTAATTGAATCCGCCCCGGATGTCCTTCGCAAGACTAACTGCACTCCTCTAAACGTTCACCAATGCGAGTTAGTCATCAACGTGTAAAATGCGTCCAAATTCACAAATGCCAAAGTATCTATACGTTTTTGTTCGGATGTGTCTTACCGCTGGGGAGTTCGTTAAATCTTCATGGGGCTGCACCACAGTACACATTCGGTTGATGATTCCTAACAATAGCAGAACAGCTGTCCAGTGCTGTTTGGTGACCGTCGCACACATATTTTCGCCTCATTTGAAATATATAACCGGTGGATTAGAATCGAAGAATTGCGAAAGCGTGAGATCCACTCAGGATTGCAACACGTGAGAACTGTTCGCATTAAAATACAAGATGTTCATCTGTTCGCTGATTAGTTCACGAACAATCGGGCACTACCCAGGAAATAGACTTGTTCTCTTGTGTGGTAATGTTTCCTGCTCCGCTTTGTTTTCAAACCACCGGGACGCATTCGCCACACATCCTTCCCGTTCCTCCTTCCCCTGACACACATTTTCTTTCATTTTGACATTCACCTGTTATTTTAAAGTGAACCGAAATGTCGCAGTCCTGCTGCAGTGCGTCTGCAAGATACGATTCCAATTCGGTTTCGGATTGTTCTCCTAGCTTGATTACTTGTTTGGAAGTGGGGATCACATGCGGGCAGCTTGACAAATTGCTTGGATTTTGACGTCAAGGTGTCGAAAACATCCGATTAGCATACTGTATACCATCACCTACGTCTGATTTTACTATGTGAAATGGCCATAGGCAGGATTCTCGTTAGAATTCCACTTGGTTCACTTTTGCAGGTTTCATCGTCTGTTCCCCACTCCGTTCATGATGTATCTCTCCTATCGAATATTGAGGAAAAGCTTTATGAGTGCTATCTATAACATTCTCTCCCATCTCTTTTAGTATCTATTCATTCATGCACAGATGAATGCATTGACCGCATATCCATATACCCGAGAAAGTCTGTGAGCCCGATAGTACGTGGCTGAGAAAGGAAGCACTTATGTCTATCACAAGTGCGGTCGATTATCACTTTGTGGATGTGAATCACACAACCGACACGTTCTGGTCCACGTAGAGTTATGACGGAACCGTCTGGGTAAATAACAGTGGGGCTAGTCAGCATCCACCTTCACAGCTCTACGCTCAAAAGCAGGAACGCATATTTTTGTCAGACCCCGGGACCTGACCACTACTGAGATATTCCACAAGTGGAAAAATTAGTTTTGGAGGGAATCCAGGTGGAGAATAGTGGAGACACATTTTCACCACGCAAATCTTTACATGTACCTAACCATTGGTGCTCCATAACTGTCGCCTAGGATGTCGACGTCATTAATTTGCCGCCAGAACGTGCAGTATTCGGCATTCTCTACCATCGCACGTTTTTTCTGCGTCAACAATGGACTCTTTCATGCACCAACTGGATGAAACATTGCCATGTCTTAAATTTTGACATCCATGTTAGTACACGGAATGGTGAGAAATTGTAGCATTTCTCATCTCCTTGTAATCCGTAATTCGATTCGGTTTTATGAAAAATCCTATGGGATAAGAAAAACAACCGCTTTAAGTATTTTACCATAATAAAACTTTCACGTTGGTTGCGTTGTGTTGGCACGGTTGAGCATCACTCAATCCAGCTTGTTTTCCACTTTGTGTTCTTACCATGTGTCATGTAAGACTGTTCGGACATGCTCGTTTTTCCTCTCCATATGTATTCGTTCTATTTGTCTATTATCTTGTTATTTTCTTTTGGTCTTTGAACATCAATTTGTTCACTCCTCCTTTACACTCCTTCCCTCTCGCTTGCTAAAAAGGCGATGCCCATTCTTTTCACTATCGATTGGTTCACTTTCCTGCTGTTCCAAATCCTCATTTATTTTTGGTCTGTTAGTTGAGAGTAACTTATCAGGCGGTTGGTGTTCGTCCGATCAGTTGAATGAGTAAACGATCTTATCTATCTGTGCAAACACGCGTTCTCTATGTGCATCAGACTTTTGACCTTGTAAAACGCGCGCTATCTCTCTTTCAAGCCTGCAGTAATGGAAGTAGGTTGAAACTAAGATGAATTATGAAGCCTCATATATCCGGTGGACCCCATATTTTTGTTCCATCCCAGTCAACTGAGCATGAGTGATTCTGTCACCCAGTTTTCTATGCAGACAGCTGCACTGTCAGCTAGTATTTTTTGGCTACTTCCCTCAGAATCATCACATATCAGTCATTGTTTTCCCTTCTCGATCGACTGGACAAAACGTTATTGAACCGTTTAAATTTCATAGGCTGATGCAATCACCGGAAGCCTAGACACATTGCGCCCGTTTTATGACCTTAAGCAGAGAAATCGAGGCTTACTAAGTGTGCTTGGTTTACTCATCACTATTCCCTCCATAGGAAACAGTCTCTCGTGCCAAACGAGAATCTCCAACTGGCCATGAATATTTGATGCTCTGCACATAACCGTTCTAATGCACTTCTTACGTCGATTTTCATTTATTTTTACTCCTTTACTGCAGCAATGTCATACGACATAAAATCATTTGGAGATCCGTTTGGTGTTTCTGTTTGGCCAGTCGCCCATTGTTTTCATTATTAATAAATGAGGATTTTTTAAATGTTGTACATCCGAGTGCACGGGGTTATTTGTACCGGAACCAGCTTGTTGTTTCTGTGTATCAAGATCGTGATGCTGTAAGCTGGTGGAAAGACAAAGAAAGTGGAGAATATTGCGTGGTTTTGTAGTTCTTTGAAAAAAGTTGATTGGACGTACATTGATCGTCTTATGCACTACCATCTAGTACAGGTGACTAGCTGCTAGTGTATTCGACCTATGGGGCTGACATACAAATACATGATGGGAGTATCATCGCACAAGCGGTAAAAGCGTGTACGCACTTTTGAGGCTTTCCAAAAATGTTTTCTTTTTAATCGGAACTGTTTTGCTTTCTCTCGTTGCTATGCCCGTTCTGTGTGCACGACGAACGTTTTCTTTCGAACTCCTGCATTCAAACCGAGTTATACTTTGGATATTTTGTTGAATCTGTGGTCCCGTCCCGAATACACTGTTCCACTTATTCTTTCTTTCCCTTGCAGCTCTTCGCTTACGGTCAGACATATGGAGTTATGAAGAAGTGGTCCCATGGCCTCAATCTATGGTCCCATGTCTACTATTACTTGGGCCGTACGGTGTTGGTCGTCGCACCTTGAAAGTATTGCTAGCCAATCAGGAACCGAATCGTTTTGCATATCCTATCTCGGGTGAGCCTTTTTGTCCGCATAGCCTTCTCATTCATAAGATGTTATTCCTTTAAAGAAGCAACACAACTTCGTCGGGTTTTTCAAATCCCCTGTCTCTCTTTAAATTAATTATCATGGTTTTCGCGTACTCTTACGTAAGCGTGCTTCAAAATGTCAACATCATCGTACAGTTGGGATACAGTGAGTGCGATAGGCGATCGTTAGATTTACACAAAACGTGTCGTAACCCAGAGCAGCCAAATGAGATCAATTCAGTTCATCTATATATTCCCCAATACACCACTGCTTACATCCAGGTCACTGAGCTGCTCACTCCATCTTAACTTGGCCAGACTACGTAAGTATCAATTTTAGACAATTCCTAGCTGTTGGATATCTTCCACTTACAGATTCCAGATCTCAACCGTAAAGCAGAACGGATAGAACGGTAGCACCATATACACTACCTATCAACTTCAGTGAAATGTCTTATCTAAGTTAAAGGTGTTTCGGTCCTGCGTACACTGCTGGAGCCTTGAAAATGCGTACGGTTATCTCTTTTTCTGACCTATCGTCAACTACGTGACTAGTCGCACCAGTCAACCTCAGCCAATTCCTTGCCATCTAGTTTCAGAACAGAATCAACACCCAGTCTTGCAGCATCACTGCACATCGAAGATGCAAATGGACCCTCGAATGAAGCAACCTAGTTTGTCAGTCTGTCGAGCGCGCTGTACGCGTCCTCCATACATCCACCGCCTGACTTTCCCCATGGCTGCCCTTTGATTGGCTGCGTCCCCCTTCCCGGAAATTGTATCGTAGTTTATTCAATAAAAGGAAGTAAAATTAAAAAGAAAAAGAACAGGTAACCGATGTCATCAACGTACTCAAGGTCGCACAGCTTTTCTGCAGCCACCCATTCAGTACCATCAGTTTTGAGACCACTTATTGCATTCTTCAGTATTTCGTTTACGATTAGATTGTATAGAATTATCGAAAAAGGGCACACTTGAAGAACACCGCTGCTAATTTCGAACGACTTGTCTTCAGATCAAACTGCTTTTTGGTTTTGGTTTATTTCGCATCTCTGAATCGTATTCACCAAATTTCGAGATGGAGTCTGCTTGCTAACGACGGTTCCTCAACGATGCACTGGTAAAGGGGAGATATTCGCTTGTTCCCTCATATGAATTGTTTGAACTCGCAAAGACCAATAAAGGGTCTCGAGGGTTATTACATATGTTTACAGCGCTTGAAAAACGAGAAGCTTAAAATTGGCAGTGCGGTGGGTACATGTAGACGCGTCAGTTTAAAACCGATCGCTTTTTTTTTTGTTTCGCGAAAATTCCTATACTCTTCATTTAGTATTCGAAATCGTACGCTAAAACCCGACTAAAGCATCGATTGCCATATGAACGTCTTATTCTAAACCCGAACGTGTTTGATGCTAATATGCAGTGAAAGTTGGTAATTGTGCAAGGTTTGGTCTGACGAAAAATACGAAATTCATGATGTTAAAGCTCGGTCTCAATAGTTGTGTGATGTAACATAAACGTTGGCTGTGGAGTATTGATTCAAAACAGGAGATTGTGATTTGTGGCATTAATCTTGAAGAAGCTCCGAAACTAATTAAAGCTTGAGCAAGGCAAATGAACCGACTGTTTCCGAAGTGTTAAGGAATTTTAATAATGGTCACACTGCATGTTAAGACCCTTGTTGCGTAGGCGGAAATCACAATGCTTAGTCAATTGTATCGATCGATTTCGCGTGAGGCTGATCAGGCAAGATTGCCAACTGGGACTACAAAGTGGGAGAGAGAGGGAGAGAAAGAGAACAACACCATTCCACCTCAAGTACATGTCTGACCTAGATTTGGATCAGACGATAAGACGTGCAACTGGATCGTTAGTTTGAGCAATGTGGCTGTCAATACATTTTGTCATTTAGAGCAAAGAAAATGTCTTCAATGAGTTAAAATTTTCCTATCTTTTGTCAGATACCCACGCGTCGTGAACGAATTTCGTGACTAGAAATTTCATTTTAGACTAACCTCAATCCGCATCCAAAGATAAGACTGCGTTTAATTTGCAATTCACTGCTTCGATCGATGAGAATTCAACAAGCGCAGTTGCAGGTTCAGCATGTTCGGGCACAGAGAATAGTCGGCTCTGACTTGAGTGCACCATTAACCACCGTAGTTTGTGTTGATACCATTTAGACCTTGTTGAGTTCAGTCGTTTATACCTAATTTTCTATTATTCAGGTGGTTGTCTTACTGGTTAAGAATTTAAATAAAACTTTGTATACCTACACAAATAAAAACACATGCGCACAGTAACAGACATCTTCATTGTGTCTTAGCACATTATTGCACTCTTCTTCATCGTTCTCAAGTGGTCCTTGGACTGTGAGCGCACTGAACTGTGCTCGCGAATACAGAACACCTCTGGCGTGTCTTTATACAAACACAGACGCTAAGACCAAAGTACGTGACCGAGTTTTGCAGATTTATGGTCGCGTGTAGATCCAGATGTATGTGTACCATTTTAATGGCTTTACTTGCCTATGTTTCGATTATCATCGTTTGGCTACCGATCGCCGCAAACAGACAGTACTAAACAGCCAAGGACGCTGACCGACTTCAATTAACGCCAACTGGTTTAAGAATCTGGCAATGGGCTCTTTCTTGTTTAATATTGTACACCATGTTATCTATTGGTTGTGTTGGTCGAAGAACAACCTCAGAATATATTAGTAGTCTTTAGAAGAACCGTACGTGTGACAGTTACCACCACTAGTAATAATTATCATATATTACAACTGAATTACAACTAAAACTACTACTTGGTTTGTTTTTTTGTCAAGTATTTTATCCTGAATAAGGTGGTCAAATATTATCTTACTCTGTTACCGGACTGTTGAAAAGCCTCGAAAGCATTGTACAGCTGTTTCATTCAGCATGTTAGTAGTCGTCAGGATTGCATATTCATCGAACTTTCTGGGGATGGAACCAGGGGAGTACGATTAGAAACTATGGGTACTGAACACATTGTGCATTGTAATAATACATCTCTATTCTACTAACCTTTTTGTTCGTGTCCCTTTGTGAGGGTATACACACAGGTGACATTCAAGTCTGATTTGAATGTCCCGTCATGTGTACGATTATTTTGTTTTTGTGTGTGTGTCTTAACCTATGTCCATTCAAGTACCCTCTATTCCCAGGTTCTTCACTCCCCACACACATTTCGGTTCCCGCCGTCGCCCATCATAATACGCTTGTTGAACGAACCTACTACAATTGTTTCCGTGTCCACCGTGAATAGGTTGCACACACATCTGACACAAAGCAACACATTTGATCTGTGGATCACTTCACTGACGCTCTTCTCCCCGACCCTCTCTATCCGTACACCTCACATACATACACACATACATATGCCCATCTTAAACATCTCAGTTCTCGGTAATTTTTGTCTCTCATTTGGTATTTTTTGTTTACCTTTTTATGCCCCATAGTAACAGTAATGTCCGTGAAATTCTGTTT